TTATTATTATTATTATTATTATTATTATTATTATTATTATTATTATTATTATTATTATTATTATTATTATTATTTTAGTCCAAACAAAATTAATTAAATTAAATATATTCCTTGAATATATTTCTTGGATATATTTTTTTTATTTTAAATATATTTTGATTGGAACAAAAATAAAATGAATAAATATAAATATATATATATATATTATTTTTTGCATGGTTTTACAAACAATAATAATTTTCGTAGACTAAAACCTTTTTCTATTAGGATACTTGCATCGTACAAGATAAAAATGGAGGCAAAATCGTATATATCTTTTTACAATATTATAAGGTAAAATTTAATATATATATATATAAATAATGATTATAACGATTATAAGGGAATAATAATTGTAATGATAATGAATAAATCTTTTTTGAATATTTTTTTTTTTTTTTAATAGAATGGGAACCTTCAAGATGCCATAAATAATCATTTATCAAATGGTACTCGTTTTTCGGAAGAAGAGATTCTAAAAATTTTTCGTGGAACTTGTTACGCTGTTCGAGCCCTCCATACTTATAGATTTCCTTGTGTTCCAACTCGATCCGAAAATAATAATAATAATAATACCCGAAATCGAAATAATAATAATAATAATAATAAAGAAAATAATATAGAGAATGATATACTTAGTCGAATACCATATGAAGAAGGTCCTCAAACCGATGATGATGATGTTGTGCCATTTGCACATAGAGATATTAAACCTGGGTATTTATTTTAACATTTACATATTTTATTTATATATTTTACCAATATTTAAAATATTTACATATTTTTTTTTTTTTTATCAAATTTATTTAATTTATTTGTACATACATATATAAAGTAATATCCTCTTATCGGATGATATGCAAACTCCCATTTTGATGGATTTTGGTTCATTAATTAGAGCCCGAATAAAAATTCACAATCGTAATTCAGCTTTAATGCAACAAGATTTAGCTGAATCAAATTCTACTATGCCTTATCGTGCTCCAGAATTATTTGATGTTAAGACCAATACCGATTTGACTGAAAAAGTTGATATTTGGGTAAATACCTTTTTATTATTTATTCCCAATTTAATCAATATTTTATTATTATTTTTTATTTTATTATTATTATTTATTTTATTTTATTATTTATTTTTATTTTATTTTTATCTTACGATTCTATTTATTCCTTTGTTTCTATTAATCATTATTATTATTATTTAGTCACTGGGATGCACACTTTACGCCATGGCTTATGGAGTTTCACCTTTTGAACATAGTATTAATGAACAAGGCGGGTCAATAAAGTTAGCGGTTCTCAATAATCAATTTAAATTTCCTGAAAATGATACTTATTCTCAAGATTTTAGAGATTTAGTTAGTTTCATATTAAAAGTTGATCCTAAAGAAAGACCTGATATTCATAAGGTTAGATATTTCTTAAATTTTTAATATTAATTGTTAATTATAATTTTACTAAATTTATTATTATTATAATTTTACTAAAATTTATTATTTTTTTTTTTTTTGTTCATGTCATTACAGGTGATTGAAAGAGTTGATATACTTATAGAACAATTAAATCAGTAGATTCATAGTAAAATAGAAATTACAAAAATAATGTGAATTATTAGAGAATTGTAGAGAATTATACTTTATTTACTTTATTTCCATCAATCATCATCATCATCATTATATTCTTGTTACATTCTTTTTTTATATTGTTATTATAATATTGGGTGTATTATTATAATTTCTTTTATTACTTGATATTATTCTTTATTATTTTATTATTACTTGGTATTATTACTTTTATCATATTGTGATATTATTATTAATTATTCTATCACAATTTTATTAACCAAATTCATTTCATTGTTTTATTATTATTATTATCTTAAACATATGAAATAAAATTTATAATTGAAAAAAAAAAATACTTTAATTAATTGATTGATTGATTGAATTTTTTTTTTTTACATAAAAATTTTATCTATATTTTACAAGTTGAGATCGACACGACTAATATAATGTGTGTATTAAGAATTGAGGTAATTACTATTAAATAAAATAATATTACATAACTATAATAATTTTAATGATTATATTCACTTATATATATTTATATTATTTATATTATTTATATAGATTTATATATATATCAAAGTATAATAAGTATAATTTATAGTATAATTTATAATAATAATATATTATATATTTTTTAAACAAATAATAACTTTTATCAAAAAAAAATAATATTTATACTGTATATTAAATTTCAAAACTGATAAAATACTAATTTTTTTTTTTCCACTCCACATTAACTAAAATAATTAATGAATATATATAAATATATATATATATTTTTTCTATTTGTTCCTTGAATAATAAAAATAAAAATAAAGAAACATAAAAATATAAAAATAAAATATTAAAGTAACCGTTTGACCAAAATTCTTTTCTTTTTTTTTGTATAATATAACAAACTCTATCGAATAAAAAAAAGAAAGAAAGAAATTTAGTCAAACTTTTACAATTCCTAAAAAGTAATAATTGAAATAATAAGTGAAATAAGTGAATAATAATAAATTGATTATTCATAATTAAAATCCAAAGATTTTCATTTTTTTTTGTCATTTTATATTATAAAAGAATAAAATATTATATATAAATTTTGTAATTAAGTTTTAAAGTTGGAATCTTTTCAAATTCAGATGTCTTTTTTTTTTTTCTTTTTTTTCAAATATTTTAATATTTTTCATTTTTCAAATATTTTAATATTTCTTTTTTTTCAAATAAACCCAAATAAAGTTTTTTTTTTTTGTTTTTACCGGGCATATGGATGGTAGTTATGTTGTCCTCGAACCTGGTGACTACTATATAAAGCGCTTCCAGTTCCACTTGTATTCATTGAATTAGAATAAGATCGAGTGGGTCCACTACGTGAACTACCACCACCACGACCATATAAGGGAGGAGGATGATGATGGTGATGATCCCTACTACCGTAACCGCCCTCATCGCGACTAGGAGAATGACGATATCCGCCACCTATGCGACTACTGGAACTTGGACCACCTAATGCGGATGCGCCTCCAGTAGATGATGGACCACCAGATCCATAACCACCGTCTCTTCCACCATACCATTGACCGTATGATCCTCCGCGACTAGATCCGTAGCTACTTCCGTATTGTGCGTTGTATCCTCCGTATCTAAAAAGAATTTATATATTTAAAAATAAATTATATTTATTATTATATAAAAATAAAATCATATAATATCTTTATTATTTAAAAAATAATTAAATATATTCACCTTGAAGAATAATAAGCATGCGTCATCGCATTGTATTGAGCGTACCCACTGGTGTAACTATTTGGATAGTTGTAACCGGAATATTGACTACCGTATCCGCCGTAACTAGAATATGAACTAGGGTTATAATTTCCAATGCTTGAATATCCGGTGTTTCTATCTTTGCTACTACTACGACTACTACGACTACTACGACGACTACTACTACCGGAAATCGCGTAAGGCCCGTACCTGCTATTAGCTGAACCCGCCGGTGATGATAACATTCCAGGTGCTGCATTTGCTGAAGAGGATGATCCGTATCCTTGTCCGTAAATTGATTGTGCTCTTGAGGATTTATGTTTAGGCATCGCACGTTTCACTTCAATCTACGTATTAATTAATTTATATATATATGTGTGTGTGTGTGCATGCGTGATATAAAATATTTAAAAAATTTACTTGTTTATTATTAAATTCCAAATCATTTCGATTCATAGCTTTTTCAACCGGCTCGGATGAATCGAAAGTAATGAAACCAAAACCACGAGGTCTTCCGGAATCTCGATCAACCATTAATGTGGCATCTATTACATGCCCAAATTGAGAGAAGTATTCTTTAAATTCTTCTTCCGTAACTTCAGGAGCGATGCCACCGACAAAGATTTTTTCAGTCTTTTCTTGTTCTTCACGAGGAATGGCTCGTTTAGGATCAATCTATATTTTTAATTTAATTTAATATAATATAATTTTGTAATAAAATTTTTTGTATGACATTTTATAACATTGAGAAAATGTAATATATATATATATATATATATATACATATCTATGTATGTATATATGTATATATGTATATGTATATATCGTAATTAATCAAATCGGGAAATTTGTCAACGTAATTCAATTTTAATACGATATATATAGATATATATATATACACGATATGTTTATCACTTACAATTTTACCATCCAAGTGATGCTCCTTTACCAAAACGGTATTAACGACGGATGAATCTACAAAAGTTAAAAAACCAAACCCACGAGATCTTGAAGTATTTGGATCTCTCATGACTATACAATCCGTAACTTCACCGAATTGTGAAAAGTAAACTTTAAGGCTTTCTATATAATAAAGAATATATATATATATATTTCGTTTGTAAATCGATGAATAAACAAGAAAGAAGAACAGAGAAGAACAATGAATAATCAGAGAAATTAACGATGAATAAACAAATAGTAAACAAAGAATAACAAAAAAACGAACAGAGAATAATAAAAAAAAATAAATAAAATAACAAAAAATAGCAGAGATAATATAAATAATATCTCTCGTGTATATAAACTCTTTAAATAAGATTTTGTTGCCATCCAAATAATATTTTGAACATCTCATTAGAAAGTTTTATAAATGCGCAAATGAAAAATCTTTTTTTTTAAGACATCCTTTCTCTCTTTAATATATTCTCTTTAATTATAATATTTTTGATGCCTCTTTTTTTTTAAAAAAAAAAAAAAAAAGGTACAATAAAAATTTCAAGAAGCAGCTATCTTCTATAAATATTATATATTATATATAGAGAGAGAGAGAGATAACACCAAACAAAGTAATAATAATAATAACGTAATTTACAATAAAAAGCTATGTTATGACTAAAACACACTCTTACCATCTGTTGTTTCCCAATTAAGACCTCCTATGAACATCTTTCTACAGTATTCAATGTGTAACGATTATGGTAAAGGAATACAGAAGATAGATGTATTCGATTTATATATATATATAGTATAGTATAGTATAGTAGTAAATTTTAAAATAATAATTGGGTGTAAAGGGAATTTTAAAGAAAAGAGGAGAAACCTAATTAGTTTTATTTTACTGCGATACTAAAGAAAGAAAACTTAAACCTAACCCTGAAAATACTCTGTTTGTTTGTTTTTTTTAAAAAAAAAAAATTATAAAACTCTTTTGTTCTCCCTCTCCCTCTCTCTTTTTCTATTAATACATTTACGTAATTTGATATTTTTGATTTTGTATCTCAAAAATTACTTTTATTACTAAAATGTCCAAAATTCATCTTCTGCTAATAAATAATATCCTTTTATTTTTAAATCTATAATAAATAAAATATGACTATTAGAATTTTTTTTTTTTCTCTCTCGATAATTCTTTTCGCTTCTTATTCTTCTTCCAAAAACGGTTTAGAGGAGGTCATCGTGACGGTTAAGTTCCTGGATCAAGGGGGAAGAACAGGAATGTGTCTGTCTCCCAGAAGAAAAAAGAAAAAAAAAAGAAGGAACTTGGCCGCGGTGGACAATATATATAGATATACATACAAACATATAAAGCAAACACAAATAATTTCCAAAAAGGAGAGAAGCAGAGTAGGTAGAACAAAAGAGAAACAAGAGATAAAAAATACTTCACCCTTCTTCATGCTTATGATTACTAAGAGTCGTGGAGACATTAGCAATTTCTTCTTTTTTAATCATTATATCATTTTTATCAGAATCTTGTCCTGATCGACCATCCTGTTTAGATTCAGATGACTGGTGTGATGAAGCGCTCTCAGCTGCCATTTCAACAGTTTGTGTATGTTGCTAAGTTTAATTATTTTTTTCGTTTATGAAACTTTTTTTGATTAGTGTACGAAAAAAAAAAAAAGGAACAAAAAAAAAAAGTTTCTAAAACGTTTTTTGAAAGAGTAAATTCTAATAACACTAATACTAACTAACACTAACTACAATTTATTGACCTGTTACTGGTTTAATACTGTGTATAAAAAAATTTTTACTGTAACTAGTAACTAGTGCAATATTTGTAACAGATCACATGCGATACACACGTATAATTTAGGGTAAATCTTAAACTGTGCATAGAGGGGATCCAGATTTCTTGGGTTAAAGTTAGGGGTATTGTATTTATCACCGGGTGTTACGCCTTTCGAATACATGCGGAAATCATATTTGTCACCTAAACAAAGTTTCATTTTTAAATGTATTTAAAAACTGATAGTAAAAAAATCATATTTGTAAAATAATATTTATTCTGCTATTGAATTCCATAGTATTATCATTATTCAAATTGTTATTTTTTAAATAAATTCGTATAATAATAATTACTACACTCACATATTAACTCTAAAACATGTAACTGTTGAATAATAATCTACAATTTATCCAAAAATTTCATACCCAATTCTTTTGCAAGATCAAACAGATCCTTAGATGTATGCCACTGTCAAAGAATTGGACACAAATATGAACATTGTTTTTGTAGTTTAATAAGTCTTATAAATATATCCTGATCCAAAATATTTATCTTCATTTTAAATCTAAATCTCCTATTTTTATTGATTGAAAATTTCTTCATCTAAGTTAAGAATTCCCAATATTATTATATTTGATGGATCTCCCAAATAATCATCAAACATGTTCCACATATTTTTTATTGAATTATTTATACTTAAAAATCCTGCCAGAGAAGTAATTTTGTTTTCATCTTCTGAATTTTCATTGGTATAAATTATTGTGAGTAGTATCAAATATATTACCAAATTTAAAAGTTCGCTCCTTATAATCAATATTATCAATAATACCAAGATTCCAAATATTTTGAACCTTTCTGTTGGATTAATTTTTGTCATTTGCTCATGTCGCCAATAACATTTAAAATTGATAACAATCTCCGAAATTATGAAATTAATCAAGGTTTTCGACGCAAACTAACCATTTACTTGATTAAATCAAATATTAAAAGATGGAAATACTATATTAACTATTATTGAAAAAAATAAATATAATTTTGAAAATATGTTCGTAATTAAGAGTTTGTTTGGTAAAAAAAAAAAATTCAATAAGAGAAAGAGCACTAAAAGAAATAATAAAGAATAAATATAAGAATAATTAAAGAATATGTATAAAATAAAATAAAAAATTTATATTGGACGCGCATTTAATTTTAATTTCCATTACGTAATAATCTTGTGATTAATGTCTCGCAAAATTTTCGAGTTTAAAAGAGTTCAATGGAATTCAATTTTAAGTTTAAAAAATGTCACTCCTTCAATTTGTTCCATTTTCTTCAGCTGTTGAAGCACCTTTCTGGCACACCTTATCTTCACGTAAAATTGATTTATATAAATTAGACGATGCTCCGCAGGAAATCGTAGGATATTACTCTACCGGTCACACTTTGCTTTCACAAGATTCCGCTGAAACTAATATCACTATGCCAGCACGTTTGTGTCTCGGAACAGGGGCTTTTGATAACATCAATAATTCGCGGTGAGCGTACTTTTCAAATACGCGAACTATTGACTCGTTCGTTTAACGAGCATACTATGTGCTTAATCCTATTATTATTATTATTACTACTATTATTATTATTATTATTATCCTTGTAGCCTACCGCCATTATCATATCATTCGATCGGTATGATTAAAAATACTAACACAATCGAAGAATTCAAACAGCTTGATAAGAATGCTTTATTTAAAGAAACCACTAAGCAAGTAAGAAATTCGATTAGATTTAAAACAATTATAATATTTTTTTCTATTTTAGTGCAAATAACTCTAATGTTTCAATTTTGTAGATTGTGAACGATATTGTATCTGGTGCCGCTGTAAAAGATCCTTATCTTCTTACGCGATTTGTTCTTATTACTTTTGCTGATTTGAAAAAATACAAATATCATTATTGGTTCGGTTTCCCTGCTTTGCTCACAGAGCCACCGTGGGATATTGAAAATAATGAAGTCAAAGGTATTACTGACGTATGGAATGAAGATGAGGTTAGCTATTCTTAAAATGTAGATTTTCTAATATAATAATAAATGAATCTTGTTTGATATAAGAAATATTAATAATATTAATTTTTTTTTTTTTTATTTTATTTTATTTGAACAATCGACTTGTTTTGAATAGATAAAAACATTAAGGATAAATTATGAATTATTCAGACAAGAACATCCCAGCACATGTACAGGATTTTTCCTTGTTAAACAATTTGAAAAGGAAATTAAAATTAGTAATTTATCTGAATGGGATAAATTTTTTGAAAACTGTAACGATGAAGAGGTAATTGAATTAACTTCTTCAGCCTAAAGTTATGTTTAATTGGATAAATATATGAATTCCATACGTATAAAGCGAATGATAGGATTTGCTGATCCTTCGAGCTTACCTAACAACCCTGGTTGGCCTCTACGAAATTTTTTGGCGTTAGTACAAAATCGTTGGAATATATGTAAAATTAAAGTGTTATGTTATAAAGAGATTCCTGGTAAAAAAGATATTTCACAAAGTCGCATTTTAACTGTAAATACACAAAATGTGGTAAAAATAACAGGTAATCATAAATTATTTTTAAAACATTATTTAATATCAGAAATTAATACCATTTTAAATTTTTTGTTTCAAAGATGAAAATCCGAAATCTGTTGGTTGGGAAAAAAATGTACAAGGAAAACTTGGACCCCGTATAGCTGATCTTTCTGATCTTATGGATCCAAAAAAGTATGTTGACTACTTTTAAGCGTGATTAAATTTAAATTTAAATATTTGAACTTTTTAACATTTTTTATCTTAATCATATAGGTTAGCCGACACATCTGTGGATTTAAATTTAAAATTAATGCGATGGAGAATTGTTCCAGATTTAAAATTAGAAAAAATCAGAGATACAAAGTGTCTTTTACTTGGTGCTGGCACTCTTGGTTGTTATGTGGCTAGATGTTTATTGGTGAGATCATGTTGAATAAAACTCAATTTCTTGTAACAAACAGTCATTAATTATTATATGCTACTTTATCAAGGGATGGGGTGTTCGTCATATTACCTTTGTCGATAATGCACGTGTCTCTTTCTCCAATCCTGTTCGGCAACCACTGTTCTTTTTTGATGACTGTTTAGAAGGTGGAAAGCCCAAAGCACATACGGCAGCTGAAAATTTAAAAAAAGTCTATCCTAGTGTTGTATGTATAAATAATGATTGTATAGATGTTATTAACTATAAGGATCCCATTTAAACCTATTCTTTATTTTATTGTGTAGATAAGTGAAGGATATGAGTTAAGCATCCCTATGCCAGGTCATCCAATCTCTTCAGAGACTAAAACTCAAAGTGACGTCGATCAACTTTACCAACTCATTGAATCACATGATGTTATATTTTTATTAATGGATAGTAGGGAGAGTCGATGGTTACCGACATTACTAGGCACCATTATGCATAAGGTTCACAAAAAAAAAAAATCTTTGAATGAAATTAATAATTATTTTTATTTATTTTTATTTTAATAGATTTATCCTTTTGTATTTTATAGCTAGTAATAAACATTGCACTAGGTTTTGATACTTACGTTGTAATGAGGCATGGTGTAAAAGATGAAGATTGCCAAACAACGGATTCACCTGATGCAAACATTCCATTAGTGAAAAGGCTTGGATGTTATTTCTGCAACGATGTCATTGCACCAACTGATTCCCTTAAAGATCGTACACTTGATCAACAATGTACAGTGACAAGACCTGGATTGTCAGCTATTGCTTCTGCACTTGGTGTCGAATTAATGGTTTCTATTTTGCATCATGATAAGGGGTATTTATTTATTTCCATAAAATGTGAAATTAATTGAATTGATAATTTTAAACACAAATTCATTAACTAAAAAATTATTGTTACCAGTCCTGCTGCTCCCGCTGATACAAAAACTGAACCATCCAACTCTTCGGAATTTAAATCTTCACCACTTGGAATCATACCACACCAAATGCGTGGATTTTTGTCAAATTTCAATAATATGATTATAGTTGGACAAGCATATGATAGATGCACAGCCTGTTCAGATTTTGTGATTAATGAATATAAAACTAATGGCTTTGAATTTTTGAAACAAGTTTTTAATTCATCAAGTTATTTAGAAGATGTAACTGGATTAACAAAATTGCATCAAGAAAGTGAAGATCTTGACGATTTCGATTGGGATGATGAATAAACCGATATTTAAAACTTCCATCCCTTATTTCTCTTAACGTTATTCAAAATTAAGCATATGTATCATTTAATTTTTATTATTAATATTGTAATTTTGTAATAAATACAAACTTTCATATCACTGCCCTTAAATATAAATGATTCGTAGCACATATAATGAATTATGAATTGGTAATAACGATAAGGAGAAAATTGAAAAAAGGAATTTATAATATTTATAATTGCTTTGGTGATTCTTTAAAACCTTTTGTAGCATATAATCATTTAAATCTGAATTCGTTTATTCGTTTTCACAATGAATAAAACAAAAAAAATAAATAAATTGCAAATTCTTACGCAAATACTTGATAAATCATGTATAAGTCTCATAATGTATATTGGGCCTATTATTTACTGATTATAGAGAGCAATATGTTTTTTTTTGTTTAATCTGAATCAACAAAAACTTGAATTAGCTTACATGATTTTAAATACAATTTTCACCAAATTTGATTATCTATTGCATACAGTGCAGAACCTCTATAATAGGAACTTAGAAAATCTTAAATAAAATTTAATCCAATGCTCAGATTTCTTTTATGTTATCCCTTAAATGGTAAATCATGTGAATTGCGGCAAATTTATTAGTAACTTATTATGTCACTACCATTTAAGGGATAGTATTTGAATATATGCATTTAAATAAAAATGTTACATTCTCCCTTCTTAAAATTCAATGTCCATGTTGATTTTCAAATTCATTAAATAATTTTGTTGCATTTATTAAATTTTTCTTGGGTTTTCAAGTTGTATCATGTAATGGGTAACCTTTCCATTTAATTAAATAAAATGGTTTTTGTCAAATCATCTTTTTATTTAAAATATTTTCAACTTTGTATTCCTCTTCCTGAGTTTTAGAAATTACTTTTGGTTGTGATAAAATTTTGTAATTAAATTTGTTAGGATTATCTTCATATGGTTTTAACATTGACACATGGAATACAGGATATGTTTTTAAGGTAGGAGGTAATTTTAACTTGTATGCAGTTGGTAAAATGATTTGTTTAATTATATAAGGTCCTATATATTTAAGAAAAAGTTTCTTAATTGGATGGTTGGATTAGATAAATAGTATTTACCATTACTTTATCACCTTTTTTGAAAATTAATTCAGTGGAAATAATATAATTATATTATTTCCACTTAGTTTAAGTTATATACGCAATATTACCATGAGTTTCTTCCATTTTAATAATTTTTTTTTATTATTTTGTTTTATTTCTTATTTGTTATTTATTTTATTAGTATAATTATTTAATATATTTTATTAGTTATAATTAGTATTTATTAGTGTAATACAAATTGGCACAATTACTAATCAAGATTTTAACCAACTTACTGATCAACTTACTAGTCAAATCAAATATTATAAAAAGAATAAGTTTTCTCTCCACCCCAAGTTAGATTCAATTAGTTTTGAATAAAATTCGAATAGTTCTAAATAGTAAAATTTAGAAAGTAATCTCAAATTGAATTAATATTTTAATAATTCTAAAGTAACTAGATTATTATTTTCTTCATAATAAACTTATATTCTTTATATTAAAACTCTATTACTTTTCTATTAATTTATATTCTTCAAATATAAATTCTAAATCATAAAATTTTGTTATTATTTTATAAACTATTGATAAACATAATTACCTTTTTGTCTTAATTTCTTAAACTGACTTTTAAAATTTAACCATTAATCAATAATTTAATTCCCATTATCATAAATTCTTAAGTCTTTTGATTAGTTTTTAGTATTAACTTAAAATAATTCTTTTATTCTTTTATTATCTTCTTCAATTCATAAACTAAAGTAACTGTTTACAAGTTACTAGTTGTAAATTACCTTTTGAAAAATAAAATTAGTTCAAAAGGTTGACTAGTAACAATGGCCTATATTATAATTTTGGCTATACTCAAAAGTGGTGTATTTTATAGATTTGGTCACATGGGTATATAATCAATTATCACATTGATATGTGTTTATATTATATTTTTAGTTACACTCAAACTACCATATATTAAATTAATGATCTGATAGATTTCTGTCATTACCTGGTAGATATATGTACCACCTCCAAAAAATATCACTAGAACTAGTTACGGGTGAATTTCACATCTTAACTGTGTTCATATATATGATTTCTTATTCCTTACTTATGATCATTATAAGGATAAAAAATAGATAACAGTATTAAATATAGTGAATTGTGCATCAAGATATAAGATCTCAGTTCCTCTCACATCAAAAAAAAGTTCAGAAGTTGTCAAAGCATTCAGGAAAATTTATGATAATCTGAAAAATCCGTTAACCTGGTCTAAATTACTACTTGTTAATGGCAGGGGTGAATATAAAGATAAAACGAACTGAATAATACAAGAATACAATATAGTAATTTGAGTAATTAGTATGTATAATCATCGAGAACTCGCAATTGTAAACAGATTCTGTAAAACCCTTGTGGAGATGCTTTATAAAATTCAATACAGTGTCAACCAAATAGATTCTAAATCTTGGCTGATAAGAGTGTGGGTTAAGTATCTTCCTCAAGTGATTGATTACCTAAATAATTATTCAACTTGTCTGATCTGAGCTCCAGGTTCTTCAAAATGGAAATTGGTACCTGCAAAGATGATCATGTTAGAAAAGGTCAAATTTAAATTAGCAATAAAATTAAAGTGCCAAATTGGAAAAAAAGAGAAGAATAGGTTAAAGAAAGGTGATACAGTTCATTATTTGTTAGCTAATAGAGAATAGAAAGGATCACTAGACATGAAACAAAAAAGGGTTACAAATCTCACATTCAGTTCGAGTCTTCATAAAATTTGCAAAATCGTAGTATTTAAAAATAAACCTATATTATATTATCTTGAAAGTGATAACGATAAATATCTTCCGAAAAGTATATTTGTGAGAGAAAAGCTCATGCACGTATTTTTTGAAAAAATCGAATATCCACCTCAGAGCATACTGGAAGAAAATACTTACTCCAAATCAATTAATTTTATTTGTGTTATTAATAAAATGACTAAAGCTCAGGCTTATACTAAGAAGCATGGTGAAAAATGTCATGGCATAATTTAGTGGATAAATGGTTTAAATATATATCTCTGATCATGTGAGAATAGACTCCGTCAATTCAAATATCCATTGGAAATATTAGAGCAGAAATTTGAGTAGTGCCCACTTTGTTTTTACAGGAAAGAAGAACGTTTTGCAAGATATATTTTTGAGGATTTATTGAACAAGAAATTTTTGTCATATGCATCAAAATTTTTAGATAAATTAAGACTCGATGGATATAATGAAAAATTAAAACTGACTTTTAAATTTCAAGAATTTCAACATTTTACTCTTAATGATTTATATCACCAGATGAATCGTGAGGGTGATTTAAAAATTCAAAAATGACGAGATTAAAAAAACGGGATATATGTGTTCAAGAAGATATAGATCTTATTGAAATTACATATGATTCAGATTTACTTCCCTATATCAAAAGTAAATTGCAAGAGAGAGATTATTTATCACATAAAGAATAAATTTATAAGATAACTACCAATGTTATATAATAAATTACATCCACTTACCTTGTCTAAATTATTAATCAAAATTTCTTGTATTTAGCTGAAAAAAAAATACTATACCTAACCTTCATCAGGAAATTTTTAAAGACAAAATATTTCAAAAATTTTTGCCTCATTAAATTTTCAAAATTATATGACACCTTCATAAATCTCTAAAATTTTTTGTTTCATTTATTTTCGAAAATTTTTACATATATTTTTGTAAATCTCCATTTATTTTCGAAAATTTGTGCATATATTTTCGTAAATTTCTATTTATTTTCATAGATATTCGCGAAATTATTATAACGGTATATTTGAGATTTACATACGAAACATTTTAATATTTTACAGATTTTTCTGAAACTAAATAATTAATTGCAAAAATAAAATGCATATTGTAATGATATTATTATTGAATGTTAATTGTTTAATAATTTTATTAATTTAATAAATTTTCAGAATATTCTATTACATAAATGTTCAAAATATTCTATATAATTAATAAATTTTCAGAATATTCTATTATATAAATTTTCAGAATATTCTATATAATTGTATACA